AATGACCTGACGGGAAGTAGCACACGGGGGGCAAGTTGAAGGCACAACTGCTTAAAGAACGGGAGTATCTTCCTATCTCATGTGTACTACCTGGGTGGGAAAAAAAGTGTGTGAGCACCAGCAAGCAAGCGTACATCAAAGGACGCCTTGCAGTGGTAAGCGTCCGAGAGCTGCTCAGAGATGAATCTTCCAATGTTCCCGGACACCACATTCTCTGATATCGCAACCCGGGGCAGCAAATGCTGTTTCAAGTGCTGAAGGTGAATACAGGTGACCTGGGCAACAAGCGCTAGCCGCTAGCCATCCTGGCGTCTACCACCCTACATCCTAGTGTCTACATCACATGTAACAAAGGATCATGAGCTAGGCCCTAGACACGCCGAGTGCATCCATCCTCCTTCAAGCAAGACCCCATTTGAGAATCATCAACGCACGGCGCGCCAAAAAGTGATAGATCTGGACGGGTTGGTATCTGGCATATACCATCATGCGCTACGCACGGTGCTGCACGCATCAAGCGGAATCCACCCAAAATGTTGCACACCTTCTCTATGCTATTGTCTGCGCTGAGAACATCATCACGGTAGGTGTCCGGAACAACATCGACCACGTTCTTGAATACATGAGCACATGGAAAGTCTCGCTTCAAGCATTGTTGACCCTGCTTGGTCTTCTCGCTAAAGCTGACCTTGGCCAGGAATGACAGATTGTATTTTAGCAAGCTGCACACGTGCACATGCTGTACCTTCTGACACCTGCACATGAGCTAGGATCTAGCCGCTGAGCTTCAAACGTGTTTGAAGACGATCCCCAAGCCATTTGCTGTAAGCACATCCGCTGCACGGCTAGAAGTACAAACCCCACTGAAATGTGAGGTCGTGACGAGCTCTTTGTGTGTGCAAACAATTGGCGGCTTGGATGTTGTCTTCCACTCACTCCGTTTGGTCCTGATGTATTCACAAACTGCAGATGGCCACTCGAAAGCTTCCAGCAGTGTTTTGGGAGGGTATCTCGCTGGAATATACTTTGACCTGCTCTTTGGCCACTTGCTTGGGTCGTTGCTCTCCACCTCACGACACGCTCAATATTACTAAATCACAAAAACCCTTGAACAGTCTTTACAGGGTTGCAAGCATTGTATTCTCATGAGATGAAACATGGAGCACCTATTTGTTGCTCCCGGCTAACAGTTTGTCCAAGGTCAGCACATCGTCGCCAGAGGTGGATTCTGACAACTCAGCTCGAACATCCCCGCGTTGAGGTTCCTAAGGGTCACTCCAACATGCAATTGGCAAAAA